TATGTCCCCTAGAAAGAGTTTAACCTTTGTCCCTGTCGGCCTGTTTCCTCCCCACTCATATGCCCTACCTGTGGTGCATGATGTCCCCTTTCTCAGCTTATTCGTCGCCCCCCTTTTTTTTTTAAACTTGTTTTACACCTTAAACCCTAAACCCTCAACCTGCAAAACCGAGTTCCAGTCCCTCTTTGAATCTGTCTTTTCCCTTGCTCTTGTCCTTTGGTGCCGTCCGTCTAAATCTGTGCTTTCAAACCTTGACTGTGGCAGTTTAAACTTGTCTATTTTGTCTGTTCTCCAGCCTTAAAACCTCCACCTTCAGTCTGTGTGTCCCTTCTTCGACGTTCCCTCGAGTCCACCCTATTCCCCCTTCTGCTGTTTCCCATGTCCGTGTCTTGATCCAGGGCTGCTTGCTCGTTGTTGTAATCCTTGCTTGGATTTCTGGGGAGCGTCGATCCAGTTCTTATTCCCCCAGCAATTCAAAATGCTCTTAACATTGAAATTTAACCAGGCTTCCTTCCGTTTGGCCGAAGGACCCCCGACCAGCATTGAATGCTCCACCTCGGTGGAGGATTTACTGTCAGCTTGCCGTGCCCCTCTCTTTCCTCTCAGATCTGGAGTACAGATCTACCAGATAGTGCTATGTCCCCTAGACTGAGTTCGTCCTTTGTCCCTGTCAGCCTGTGTCCTCCCCACTCTTCTGCCCTGCCCGTGGTGCGTGATATCTCCTTTCCTGAGTCTTGTGGGAACCCCGCTCGTCCTTCCTCCTCCGGTCTTCATCGTTTCGTCGTCATCCCAGTTTCTCTTATTTACCCTTTCTCCCTGGGTCTCACTGTCCTGTTGAGATTTTTCCTCTCTTTCCCTTTATCCTACCCCTTTTCTATCCCCTGATTTTGTCCTCCCTCTTCTCTCCATTTAAAGCGTAGTTGTGTGCCTTCGATCTCTGCTATCGCCCCCTGACCCAACGTGTTCTGTTTGAATCTTTTAATTATCTCCTCCTCTTGCCCTGGTTGTTGTCGTGCCTGCTGTCTAACCCCTTTCCACTGCGCCTTGAGATGTATTTCCATTGTCTTGAGGAGCAGCTCCCTGGCTTCCTCTCTATGCATTAGCGTTCCTTCTATAGTGGCCTGACATCTCCTCTTCCAAATGATCCACAACCCATATTGCCTCAATAGCTGAAAGATATGTCTCTGATAGGGTTGCATCCATTTGGGTACCTCAGCCCCCAAAAGCCTAGCAATTCTTGACTCCGGAAAAGCAATGTTCGCCACCCGTTTCCATATTCGCCTGACTTGCTCCCACATCCCCTCCGCCTCCTTGCACTCCAGTAGACAGGAAGTCCTTCTTGACACACTCTGCACAGCTCAGCTTCATCGCTTCTCTGGTTGTGACTTCTTCTTTCGTTGAGCCAAACATTCACTGGCAGCGCCACATGTGCTATTAGCCAATGCATACTCCTCACTTGTCCCAGTCTTATTGATAGAATATTTGCCCATGGTATGTCTGCCATTTGGCTTCTGGGGACCCCCACCCTTTTCTCCCAGCGCGTGAGCAGAGTAGGTCCCATAGCCAGGGATCTGTTCCTCAACCTGTAACCTATTCTTGTGGTGTAGTGAAGGATGTTGATTCTCCTTGCTACTCTTAATTGTCCCCCCCTAATGTTCCAGGCCCATTCACCAGGATCCACCTCTAGTTCCTCAATTGGTACCGTTGAATTGTACACTGTAAACTCCTCCATCTCTATCACTCTTACCTTCCGCAACCCTTGTTTGAGGATATACAGCGGCGCTTTTGATGTCCTATCCAATTGAGACGTGGTATTGCGTGGCTGTATTATGTTGTATTTGTCTGCTACTAGCCATTCGTTCCTGTCTTTGACCGTATCCCGCACCCTGTATACCTCTCTAGGTTCTGCATCGTCTTCCCATGTGGCCCAATCTCCCTCCCGCCATTGTTTTCCCCCCCTCAGCAACTGCACCCAGGTTGGATGTATGGAGCCTGTGACTACACTCAGGTTGTCCTGGAGCTTATGACACCCCTTCAATGTCCTTCTCAGCTCCTCTGTTGTTTTCCATCTGTTATTCTCCTCATCCCAAATGTGTTTGATCTGCCATACCCCGTGTTCCAACCATCTGCCCCATCTCGAATCCTTGCTTGTTAATGTCAGAGGCTTTCCGCCAATGTCCTTAATGCTTGCGTTGCAGAATAACGGTTGTCTTAATACCTCCTCTCTTGTAGTAGGCTCTCTTACCCTCGCTGGGAAGACCTCCTTCCACAATTGTATTAGTTGTAGCCAATAGGCCGAATTTCTGACTCTCCCTCCTTGTATTTCCCTATTCTCCTCCCTGTGGCCCATTTTGGCCCAGTTGCTACACATAATCCAGACCAGCCCCGTCATGTTGCTCGGTGTTTTGTACCTGRCTATCTGTCTAATCCTTTCTAATACTAGTGATGTYCATGGCAGCCTAGGCTGTGAGATTAGCTTAACCACCCATTTTGTTTGAAGCGCTTTCAACTGTTGACTTGGGTCAAGAATACCCAAGCCTCCTTGCCCTTTGGGTTTAGTTACCTTTTTCCAAGCCAACTTGGCTATGAAGTGTTCCTTGTTGTGCTTTGCCGTCCACAAGAAGGCTGCGGCCTTTCTCCTAAGCTGGGCCGACGTGGCCTTGGACGGGGTCCAGATAGACCCTGCATACCACATCATGGAGAAAATTGATGTGTTCAAAATTAGTGCTCTTCCATATGTTGAGGTGTATACTGCTGACCAAGCACTAAACTTTGCTATCACCTTGGCCATAATGTCCGCCGCCATTGAATGGTGTGCACCCTCTTCTGTTATTTTGATCCCTAGATACCTGAATGGATGCTGTGGCGTCATCCATTGAAGCCCCTCCGGGCTTGTGACCGGAATCTGATTTTCTTGATCCAGTTCTGCTAGCCACCACCCCACTGTTCTGTGCCAATTAACTCTCATCTCTGAAGCCAGCTGGAACGCTTCCATTGCCCTTGTTAGCGCTTGAAAAAAAGAGTCTGTTGCTCTTATCAAAACCGTCAAGTCGTCTGCGAACAAAATCGTCGTGGGGAGTTCGACCGTGTGTCCTCGCTGGTCTGGCGGTGCTATTAATCTCTCTATTGACGGGTCTTTTCTTAGAAAAGAGGCTATTGCTTCCATTATGAAGAGAAAGATAGGAGCTGCTAAGGGATCCCCCTGCCTAACTGATCTTGACATCGGGTAGGTCGAAGATAAGTGACCATTAACCTGCACTTGCCCCCGCGCGTCGTTGTATAAGACCCTTACCCATTTCCTAAAGTTTGGCCCTACTCCCATTCTTTCCATGCACAGCTGCAAGAAGGGCCAACTGACCTGGTTATATGCCTTTTCGAAATCGAAAAAAAAAATGGCGGCATTGATTCTCTTGTCTCTTATATACCGGACAGATTCTGTTAGGCACATGACATTGTCTAGTATAAACCTTCCCGGAATGAATCCTGTTTGATCCAAATGGAAGCAGCCTGCCGTGATCTTTGATAAGCGGTTAGCTAGCGCCTTGGCTACTATCTTGTGTGTGAGGGTCAACAAAGTTACTGGCCTGTAATTCCGTAGGTCCACTGGACTCCCCTTCTTGTAAAGCAGCGTGACTATTCCGGTTGCGGGCTCACTACCTATGCCCGCCGCCTGCCAGGCGTGCTCTAGAAATGCCAGATATTCTTCGCCCAAAATTGGCCAGAATTCTAGCCAGAATTCTCTGGTCAGACCATCCTTCCCCGGGGTTTTGTTCAGGGCCATCGTTTTTAGTGCATCCCATAACTCCTCTTGTGATAAAGGTTCATCCAACATGGCCGCGTGCTGTCGTAATATTGTGTTCTGTAGGTAGTTCAGGAACTTCGATCTCGCTTCTTCCACCCTTACCCTCGGGAGCTGGTTTTCTGTAGATGTGTATAGTCTACTATAAAAATCGAAAGCCACCCTTAACATCCCTTCCTTGTCTGAGGTAAGCCCCCCTTCCCCTTCTAATTGCTCTATGAGGTTATTCCTTCCCTTGGACTTTATTTTTTGGAAGAAGAATTTGGTCATTCTCTCCCCCCCCTCCCATTCCCTGACTCTAGCCCTCATTTGTAGGCCCTTCATTCTCCACCGTTGCCAGTCCGCCATCTCTTCTCTTGCCGTCCCCAGTTCTCTTTCGTATAATTCGTCTCCTGGCCAATTAATAGTATTACGCTCCGCTATCTCTATTGCTCGTGCCAACTCTTCTTCTCTTTTCCTCCTCTTTGCTGCCAGCCTCCTAGCCACTATTGCTGAAGCGTTAGACAGTGTTAATAGCAATTCTGGGAATGTATGTGTGTCTGGGTTGTGTTCCTGACACACTTGTAAAACCGCCTGTCTCATTTCCTGAGTTTTGAGAAGGGAGTTGTTGATTTTGTAGAACCCCCTACCTCTGATGACTTGTTTGTCTGGTGACAGACTCAGATGGATAGGTTTGTGATCCAGACCCAGTCCGTACGGCAAGCTACCCATACTCACTGATTGCAACATGCCTATTACTCCTGACGACGTCAAAAAATAGTCTATCCGGGAGGCCGACACATGTTGGTTGCGGTTCCTCTTGCGATAGGTGAATTGTCTTTCGTCCGGGTAGTAAAACCTATAGGGATCTATCAGTTCTAAATTCGTCATTAGCCTATGAATCGATAGCGATTCTTCTGCCCCCCCCTCCTCCTCTGATCTAACCACTCCCGATAGTCTATCCAAGCTGGGATCTAAGGTGGTGTTCCATCTCCTACTAGAATCAGATGCCTGTTCCCATCCAGGATCTCTTTAAGCCTTTCGATCAGATCCTCCCTCTGCTGAGAGTTATTCAGACAGTAAACCGAGAGTAACGTGTAGGGTTCCTCATGCAGCTCAAAGTTGACCTTAACCCATCTACCCTCCTCCTCGTCCACCCTTGCTTCTGTGATGCGAATCCTATCTGATGTCGTAGCCCTTTGGTTTTGTATAATGACTACCCCCGTGGAATGGTTATTTGCCGCCGGAGCCCACCATGCTGCCTTAACTCCTTGCAGCTTCTTCTCAATCTTGAGCTTCGTTTTCTGGTGCTCTTTCGATTCTTGAAGATGTGTTTCCTGCAAGCACAAGAAATCCGGTGGAGACAAAGTGTACCATCCTGAGTAGTTCACTACATTTTGCCATTTGTCACTATTCTCTAAAATCGCGACCATCCCATTCACATTCCATGAGGCTATTCTGATTTCCGGTGGACCTGTTCCCCCTTTAATTCTTCTTCTTTGTTTTCTTGGTCTCTCTTCCCCACCTCCCTCCATTAGGTCCCCGTGTTAGAATGTGGACTCTCCTTCTAATTTTCCTTGTTCAAGTATCTTGTGCAGTGAGCTCTATGACTGTTGCTACCTCACTTACCCTCTTCTCGAGGAAGTCTGGCTTCCAAACGAACGCCTCCATCTTCACTGCGACCGCTGTGCACCTCGCCACCCATTCCGCACCTAATTCTCCCCCCAGCAGCCCATAGGGGATGGTCTCCACCACCTGCCAAGGCATCCAGATCAAACCCTCCCTCAGTTCAGAGTCAGCCACCATTTGAAGTAGCAGCGGTCCGAAATCGGTTGTTGTCTCCTCCTCACTTTCCTCCCCTATTGCCATCGGCTCCTCTTCTCCCTCTCTCAATATAAACGCTCGAGCTGGCACCTCTCCCCCTTTTAATCTCTGAAGATCCGAGCCTGAGCATTCTTCCATCGGGGTCGTTAAAAGCTGCAGGGATTGGTTGATTGCCACCTCTCAGTTCGAGTGCCTTGCATTCCATCGACAGGGTAAGACCACTCTCCTCCTCGTCCCATTCTTAATTTCCAGTCGGGCCGCAGCTTCTATCTCCTTCCACTGACCCTTTGCTATTTTTTGTACGTTCACTATGTCGTCCTCCAACTCCCTGTTCTCATCCTTGAGTAGGTTTACCTGCACCACCAAAATCGCGGCTTGCCTTCTCAAATCCTGCACCTCTTCCTCTTCTCTCTCTCCCATCCCCTGATCCTCCTCCATTGCTGCACCCTCCATTGAGTCATTCCCCCCACTAGCTGTACTGCCTTGCTCCTCTGCCGTTTGTGCCTTCCGTTTCTTACCGTCCCTCTTCCTTTCCTTGCTATGTAGGACTTTGGCCATTGAAATAACCTCCCATATTCCTCCTGGTGTATGTGGATCTCATTCCTTACTGTGCAGCTCTTTCTTGCGTACTGAGATGCGTAGAACTCGTTAATTTCTCCTTCCCTCCTTAGCAGTTCAAACCTGTTTTCTGATGTGATGTCCTCTCCTGCTTGTGTGGCTTGCTGGAGGTTCCTCAAGTGTTTATGGTGGGCCAGTCTGATTTCACACTCGATCGTCCTCCCCCATTCCAGCTGCTCTACTTCTTTTATCCACCGTTCCCTTGTCCAATCTTCCACATCTGAGTCTTCCTGATCTTCCTCCTCCTCTTCCTCGTCCTCCTCTGATGAGGCTTCGCTCTCTGTGTCTGCTGAACTCTCCCTCTGGTCCTCCTCTGCCTGCAAAATCTGTTCCACTGTCATGTTTTCTACATTTTGCATGCCCCTCCTCGCCCTTTCTCTTACCCTTTCTTCGTCCTCCAATGTTTCATGACCCTGGGCGCCCTGGGATCCGCTTTTGTCCTCTTCATACTGCGAGGATCCTTCTTGGTGATCATTGTCTGTCAAGTCCTCCTCTCTCTCTCCTGCCATGCCTGTCCCTTCTTCTCCTGCCCTGCTTCCCTTTGAGGCCGCGCCATGTGAGCTTGAATCTGCTTCACTCTCCTTCCTCGAGCTCCCTGATGATTCCTTACTGGTTCTTCCCTCTCCTTCTTCCTCCTTTGTAGTGCCCTCTTTCCGGATTGGGTCTTTTGTCTCCTTTTCCCCTACTGTGTCTCTTTCTTGAGTATTAGACCCATCCTCTCCTCTTGCCTCTCCCTTCCTCTTTGTGGATGTACTTCCTCCCTCTGTTCTACCCTTCCCTCCTTGCTCACAGTCCATATTGTCTCCCTTACCCTCCTCCATTTCTCTTGACCTCTCCTCCTTGCCTCTTTCCTGCCCCTGCTGCTGTGCTCTGGCTTTTGCATTTTCCAAGAATGCCAATTCTGCATTCTTCCCAACCTCATGTAGTTCCCTCATGAGCTTCTGCTCCACATCCTGCATTACTTCTTCCTCCAACATGGGTTTAATAAGGAATCCCGTTTCCTTGTCCTCCATGCGTTTGGCCCCTGTGTGCCTCCACCTGCTGTCATAAGGAGGATAGATGTCTGGCTTAACTGTTGGCTCCTCTTTCATCACCCACACCCACTTTGGGTTTTCCAGGTTGTCATCAAAGATCCAACCCCTATACTGTGCTGCGTTTATGTACCATACTCCCGGTTTATTCTCACACTCTTGCATGATCGATTGCTTCAATGCCATCCTTTTTCCCCCTGCTTCCCCTAAGCCCCCCTGTGGGCATGAAGAACCCAGATGACCTCTGCCGCTGCATTTGAAGCAGAAGGGATTGGTCTTGGATGAGATGAACACTGTGACTCTCTGTCCACTTTTCCTAAAAATCCACTGATCCGGGAATCTTGGCGGCGCCCCTGACGTTACTTCCAAGCATGCCACTCTTGCGTCGTGATTCGGTGTCAGGAAGTCTGGGTTGGCCGGGAGCCATTCGATGATTGGGTTGTTAGGATACTCTGCTTCCAGCCTGCTTTGAACGAAGCTGTGCATCCCCTCCGACAGATTATCAAACTGAACCCAGAAGTGGTTTCTCAGCATGGATTGCCTGTGTCTTGAAGCCTCCGCCTGCGGTGGCCTTGGCGGTTTCCAAGGTTGGATTGTAACCACCGACCCCTTGCATTTCAGCAATCCGATCGATGTCAGGTACTGCGCGTAAGTTGGATCCACGCAGACGATCATGACTGCAAACCTTCCCCTCCTGTGGTATGATACCTCTGGTTCCTTCCCTGGGACGTCTTCCATGGCTATTAGCCTATCCATCACCCATCTTCTCTTTTCGTTCAAAGAGAGCTCCCTACTTCGTCCCGAAAAGTTGAACAACACCGCATGTTTCTCATACAAATCGTTCAGGGACTGGATGTCCTCCTCTGGGTATTCCCAAACATCCACTTCCTCCTCCTTCCCTCCCTCCCCCTTGATTACTTCCCTTGTTACTTTGACCTCCGCCTTAATCTGAGTTTTCTCCAACAGGAATTCCATTGCCTTTTGCCCCAAAGTTCGTGGTTTGGCAACTCCCATCTTCGAACTCGTGCCTGACTGCGATGGCATCTGCCCTGAATGGCTCATTGACGCTCCCCCTTGTCCTTTCGCGAAATCCCGCTTCTCCTTCCCACTCATTGCCCTTTGAGCTGCCCGGGAATACGAAATCGCCATTTCTGGAAATGTCTTCCTGGGACAAAGTTAGGACAGATTGACGAAAACCCGTCTTCAAGTTTGAAACGTGATGGAGGACCGAGGCGGTGAATGGATCAGTGTGAAGAACGTTGGGATCAAGGTAAGGATCTGTGTTGGAATCGTGCGGAGCTGAAGTCAGAAAGGAATGGATACTCGGACGGAACTGCCGTTGGGATTCAAAAGATCATAGCTTCATGCGTAAATTTTGGCAGCATTTTGCCTCCTCACTTGGGGATCGACTTTTAGTTAAATCAACCGGCCAGGCACTGGATCAAGGTAAAGTTCAGATTTCGCTGAAAAGAGAAATTTTCCGAGCCAGACAAAGCGCATTGGGGTCCAGGCGAGTCAGATGAGAGTCGAATGGGGTTGAGATTGGGTTAKAATCGAAGTGGGTTAGAAGATTGGATCGGGGGATGGGGTCGTGGTGGGGTGGAATCGGCGTGGGGCGGAAAAGGGCTGCTGATGTGATGGGATCGGAGCGGATAATGAGCACGTTGGGTTATAATCGAAGTGGGTTAGAAGATTGGATCGGGGGATGGGGTCGTGGTGGGGTGGAATCGGCGTGGGGCGGAAAAGGGCTGCTGATGTGATGGGATCGGAGCGGATAATGAGCACGTTGGGTTATAATCGAAGTGGGTTAGAAGATTGGATCGGGGGATGGGGTCGTGGTGGGGTGGAATCGGCGTGGGGCGGAAAAGGGCTGCTGATGTGATCGAATCGGAGCGGATAATGAGCTCGTGATGGGATGGGATCGGATCAAAGATGGGGTCGGGTTGGAAATTGGATCGCGCTCGTGGGGTAGTGGGGACTGAGTGAGAGAAAGGAGTGGGAATGTGATGGGATGGGATACGTGGTGGGATAGGGTCGGAGTGAGGGGTGGGGGGGAGCTGGGGACTGGGTCGGGGTGGAGGATGGGATGTGGCACAGGCCAAGGATGGGCTCGGGTTGGGTGGGATCTGACTGGAGTTGATAGCGGGAGCTGGCTTATAGTGGGATGGCTTCGAGGTAGGGGAAAGGATCGGGTCTACGATGGAGTGGGGGTGAGGTGAACAGTGAGGAAGGGGTGGGCGGTGGGATCGTGATGGGATGGAGTCGGATCAGAAGAATGGGCTTGGGATGGGGTGTGGTCGGGGAGGTAAGGCGCTTGTGATGGGCTGGGATCGAAGTGAAATTGGGATTCGGGTGGAAGATTGGATTACGCTCGTGAGGTGGTGGGGACAGGATGAGAAAGGGAATGGGATCAGAATGGGTTAGGATCGGGGTGGGAGGAGGGACTGGGGGCGATCTCAGAGTGGGAGATGGGATCGGGAACGGGACTAGGATGGGGACTGATCGGGGTGGGAACGGACTGGAGTTAAGAACTGGAGCTGGCTTGTGATGGGCTGGCGTCGTCGTAGGATGAGGGATCGGGTTCACGATGGAGTGGGGGAGGAGTGAGGAGTGGGGAAGGGGTGGGAGGTGAGAACGGGGTGGGAAATGGACTCGTTGAGGGCGAAGCAGGTGATGATGACGGGGATGGTTCGCGATGATGACGGATCGTTGTGCCCTTGGGCTTGTGCACGGATTCAGGAAAACTGCTGGTTCCGGGGGACCGGGTTGATTTGGTAATTGTAGGCGATTATGGTGGTTGCGAGAATAGGGATTAGTGTCTGCTCTCACTTGAAATGTTGCTCGCTGTCTTCCGATTCTGCTTCAATACCTCGACCAGATTGGGTCCACGCCTTGCATTCCGTTGATTGTGGCCGAGAACAAGTGGTTGCCTCACCCTTGCCCGGGTGATAGTGGCCGCTAGATCTCCTTTCCTAAGTGTGCGCCTTCCTTTCTCTGACCATACCCCTACCTTCTTTCATCCTCTCCCTCCAACCTCCTCATTCCTTCCTCGCTGTTTGTTCTCTCTCTTCCCTTTCTCTCACCTTTCCCTGCCTTTTCTCGCCCTAACTCCCAAGTAATGAAAATGGCCACGCCTGCAGGCGTGGCTTAGCGCTGACGTAGGAAGCCCACCAGAACCCACCCTCTCTCTTGCTTTCGAAAGGGCTATGGGGCGCGCGCAATGTCGCGCGGCGCGATTCCCACCTGGGCGCTGGTGCTCGTTCCTATGCGGAGGCGGTGCATGAGTCGCGAAACGGCGCTACCGGGAGCTTGACCGCCAGTTCCTGTTCGGGTCAGTCCGGTTCCTATTCCCCTGGCAAGTCAAAATTGAATATGTCATAGTACACGCTCACGCTTCCTTTCGTCTGGCCAAAGGAACCCTGACCAGCATTGATTACTCCTGTATGGGAGGATTGACTGTCAACTTGCCCTAGTCTACTTTTCTGTGAGATACCCCCTAGGGATCTGTCGACTGAAACGATATGCTCAAGAAAAAGACTGTGGCTTTGCTGCCTTGTGGGGCCTGCTGGGTTGGCCTTAATCCTTGGGGATGACGGTTGCTGTCCCATGTCATTGTCCGCTCGGGGGCGGGGGCTGATGCCATATCTTCAATATCAGGCAGTTGTCAGCTATGCTTGCTATTCTGCCTCTAATCAGCCAATCCTTGTCGAATGTTGTTCTCTTGATTGCATGTCTCTCGGGGAGTCTCCTTGCTATTCTACGATGACCTTATGCCATCTGGCCCGGATTTCAGTTTCCGCCATCTTGACGAGTATCGCCACATTTCCTCCTTGGCAACCTCTGTCCCTTCGATCGTGAGGGTGCATCTCCTCTTCCAGATCACCCATAGTGGCAGCTTCCTGAGTAGCGGAAACCAGGTTCTCGTGCTGCCTTTGAGACTTGAGGGGGGATCAGATAGGAGGAGGATGGTTTGTGGGGTAGTGGGTGGAGGCGGTGAAGCGAATAGGGAAGAGTCCATAAGGCTCGGATCCTCTTCCAGAACCAGGTCGCCTCAGGGCAGAGGAGAAGACAATGGGGTATGTCTTCGAATGTGGAGCCAGTCGTTGACTGGGAGGGCTGCTGTGTGGGCGATTAGCCATTGCATGCTGCGGATTTTGATGGGTCTGATGTTCAGGTATTGGGCCAATGGGACAGCGAGTTGAGTTTGCCGTTCCAGGTCGAGGATGTTAGTCCATTTCTCAATCGGTCTGGGGTTGGGATCTGATGTTCGCAATCCTAGCTCGTAGCCGAATTTCACGTTGTACTCAGCTATGGTCAGTGTCCTGCTGGCCTGGTCCTTCTTCCAGGCCCATTCTTTAGGGTCGCGAACTCTAGGTCCTGTTTGCCGACTTCAGGTAGGATCTCCGGTCCCAAAACCCAAAACCGTAAACCCTGAACCCTAAACCGTAAACCCTAAACCCTAAGCCCTAAGCCCTAAGCCCGAAGCCTTTAACCCTAAGCCCTTAACCCTAAACCCTAAGCCCTTAACCCTTAACCCTAAACCCTAAACCCTGAACCCTAAAACCGAAACCCTAAGCCCTTAACCCTGAAACCTGAAGCCGAAAACCTAAATCCCGAGGGGTTAGGAAAATAGCATGGGCTATAAGGAGTGAATGAGTGGGGGTGTAAAAATATGGAGTTGCCTGCACCCTTAAACGGGTAGCAGCCAGCGTTTATAGTAATGTTTATAAGGCAGGGCGATTTTGGGCCGTAGATCTGAATCAGCGGTGTTGGATGGTCGATATGCTTGGGCTATAGTGAATAACGGCCTTGCATTCCAATTTCCTCCTCTTTGGAGTCTTGACTGTGTGTATTTCTTTGATATGCAAATTTTCCTCCTCTTTCCCTTGTTTTTGTAATGGAAGATTTTATAGTACTCATACTACTCGATAAATTTGTACGTACTTAGTTTTCAAGATCATTTTTTTTTTTGTCATTTTAACAGGGGCTACCATCGTTCATCTGCCATTATAGCATTGATGCTTAGCAAGCGATGTTTAGCTATGTTTTGACTTTGCGCCGTATTGGTTCTTGATGCTTTTGATGAAACCTGTGGAGATGAACAGCAGGTACGGATCGGAAGCTATCGATGGACCGAGCGGATCAACCTGATAGATGGATGACACTTCGGCTTTCCTACCGTGAACTTTCTCTGAGCTTTCCTGTGTGGTAGCATGCCTTCGCAGTCTACTATCTGATCGTTGGACTGATGGCCTATAAGATCTCTCTCCCTCGATCAAGCCTGATTGATTGTCGACAGATGAGATGAATGAAGGGAGGCACTGCTGAGGGATGGAGGGAAGGAAGGAGGTGTGGGTGTTTGTGAGGAGGAACTGCAAAACTGGCCAGCCGATCGGCGAAAAGTCCTCGCAGCGTACGGCATTCTTCTCCGTCCTTACTAGATGATGATACTGAAGAGTCTGCAGTGAATGCAGTGGATGATCAAACTTCTACTTCTGCTTGCGGGGAATCACCGTATTGAACGGCGTATTCTCTTGTAGCCAGAAAAACAGAGGGGCTCATGAGCAGAGGGGCTTGTTGACTACGGACAAGGATGATTGCTCTGGAGTCTGTACACTCAGTGATGATTGGAGTTAAATGGGGTCTCCTGAACCTTGGTCTGTTGCGTACTGTTCAGTCTCTGCAACTTTGGTCTGTTGCTAGATTGAACCTGGACACTCTGTGCGGTCTGTTACTAGATTGAACAGAGTTAAGTGATCGAATTATCTTCAATCCAGAAGATAATCCGTGCAGTGACGACTGGACCGTTAACGAAGGAAATGCTGTATAGCTCCTCTGGATTGCAGAGCTGGGGTCCTACAAACTACCGCCTTCCCCGGAATGGAACGAACTGTCCGTATAACTGTATCTGTGGCATACAGCGATAGTGACTTTTTTGTGCGTTCTATTCGGGTGAAGACGGTAGGTTAACGTGGGTCAATGCGGTCTTTTTGCTTTGACCAGAAGTCAACTTCAGTCAACGGGACTGCAAAGCCTCGATGCTTCAAAATAGTTGAACTTGGGTCGCTTCCACCGGGGCTTGACTTCCATTCGTCTGGGATAGCAGAGATGGGGCGTTATGAAATATATTAAAATTTGAAACCACCAGTATGCGAAAACCGTTCTGCAGACCTCTGACAGTTCTTTCATCGTCACGACTAAATTGAGTTTTCCGCAGGCAGGCCAGTGTGCATCCAAAAGATGGCCGGTGTGTTAATCGCGACTCATCTTGCTCGTGTACTGATGGTTTAGGATAAACACGAGTCAATGCGTTTGCTTTTTGACTTTGACCAGGATTCAACTTCCGTTCAATGAGATTGCAGAGCTGGGGTGTTACGAAATAGCTGAATGTGGGCTGATGCATGCTTTTCACTCTGACCGGGATTCTACTCGATTCACCAACAGAAAGTAAGAGGCTTTTTTTTCCTATACTTGGGCCCAATGGGGTCAAACTGGTGGGGCACTATGTATCTGTGGCGGACTTTACCCACTTATGCTCACAAGCTGCCATCACCACTTTCTTTGGGAGGGCTTAAACGCTTCTTGAGAGAGGTAAACAGATATGTCGGGAATGGTTAAGTAGCGTTGCGACATAACGGGGCGGTGTCAAGTGTGCATCGGATTCGTACGCGTAAGCATGCACACATTTCTTGTGATACCAGCATGAAAGTGTTGTAATGAATAACTGATGCTCTTTTCGCTGGAGTGCGGAGCACGGAGATTGGAGACTGGAGAGAGAGAGAGAGAGAGAGAGAGAGAGAGAGAGAGAGAGAGAGAGAGAGAGAGAGAGAGAGAGAGAGAGAGAGAGAGAGA